TTTAAGGGTGTTAAATTTATCTTTTACAACACTGTTTCTCTAGAAACACCGACGCAGCTCACAGTAGCTCGTTACCGCTAGTTTCCCCCATTCTGACACAAAGGCTTTATTTGCGAGACTCAGTCTCAGTGGTGTCCACAGCTTGCTCTCTCGGTACGAATATAGTATACCATCTATCTTTCGCTGTCGAAAAAAAAATCTTAAAAATTCTTACACTCATGGGATATGACTATTTTAATAGTCAATAAAAACGGAAAAATACCAAAAAAGCCCTTCTCATTACTCGTGTTTTGCGACCACCCACTCTCCAGATTGTTGTTCTACACGCTTAGGAGTTGATCAAATGTTGTTTTTGGCTCATGCAATAGCCAATCAATAGCATTCTGAATATCTTAAAATTTAATGAATCTGTTTTGKCACTGRGCTTTAAGCCTTTAACAATAGTAMGTTTCAAWCTGCATRCATTCCTCATGATGTAACGTAATTGAAGTCAACATGAATGTCAACTATATAACTGTTTTTCTCTGCATTCTGCCTTTGACAGAATCAACCCTTGTWAAAGGTATGTRCGACGGCTTTCTCKATTTTTGTTGTTGGTTTATCGGGCCATCAAGAAAACTAATTTTGAAAAATTAGCACTTTAATGAGTTCGAATTACAGCTTATCACCTGCAATATAAATTGCTTTTTAGCGAAATGARCGAGAGATTTTACCAAAAGTGCTCGCTGGACTGTGAAATTTATCACTCCAAAAGCACGATTTTGTTTGCTCCATAGATGTGTCAGTTTTTGTTGGCATTACTTGATATTTTTTGGAACCGAAACGCCATATAGTTTTTTTTTAAGTTACGATATAAGAAGCTAAATAATAGGACAATTAAGGAAATATTGTAAAAATGCAAGAAGAAGACGAATGAAAAAAATATCACAATAGTAACGTTCTTTAATTAGTATATTTTCGATGTATGAGAGCCGCCTTTACACTCTTTATGAAATGTTGCATCAAATGAATGCGATAAATTATGAATGACTCTAACGAAAGAAAAGAAGACCTCTGGGAGAGCGTCGCGACGGGACATTTGCATTACGACTATCAGTTAAAATTAGGGCTATATTTGTATATATATATATATATATATATTACGAGTTTTTTATCAATAAGTTTATTATCTATTCAAGGTTAACGATTATAAATAATTTTTTAAGGTTACGAGTAATATAGTGATAGACAGATAGAATAAAATCTGAAATCAAATAACCAAAAAATAAGGACAAAATAAACACGATCTAACCATAATATTTTAAATTTGAAACTACAAATTAAAATAATGTTATCCATTGGAGGTATTTTCTTAACATTGAACTTTTTTTTCACTACGGATTACAGTTAAATCTAAAGCCATATTACGGTTAACGCTTAATTAGCCCCATGCATTAAAACATTCCCCAAAGATTTTGGTAACAAAGGGAAAAAAGGAAACGAATGACAAGATATGCCCATCAGAATTAACCGGAAATCACAGTAAATGTCAAAACTTGACCTGATCATATGAAGTGAAATGAATATGCGTGGTTGATAATGAATTTCAGTTTACCCGTTTGAAAATTTTATTTTTTTTGCAACAAAAGAACATTTTCAATTCTTTTCTTTGTAAAATTGAAACTCATAAAACGTATAACCAATATTATAGGTAAATTCATTTGGTGACGAGTGAATTCAACGCGGAATTCATAAGTCGATCCAATGAATTTACCTTGAATCTCATGCCTCAATTTTAAAGGAGAAAAAATTATTAAAACAAAGACAAAAAAGGTTAGAAACGAGCGTGCGTTTGCAAAATTGAAACGATCGCTCGTGAGTTCAGTGCGAGAATTTCATTTTCACTTTTTTTTTTTTTTTTTTTTTTTTTTTGCCATTTTAGCTAAAGAAATATTACTTTTTAATAACTAAAACAAACAAAAAAAAATTTGTAGCACTCGAATGTCTTTTAAGTATTTTTACTGACAAGCTCAAACCGGATTTTCAGAACGAGTTTGCAACGATCATCGGCGGGCGGCAAACTTGCAGACAGACCAGGGCCACAAATCCTAAGATTTCCAAGATTTCTACAGTTGAAAAACAAGTTTAAAATCATATTTTGAGTCTTATTTGGACGAATGAAACTCGTTGAAGTCAGTAGCCCTGACTTGCCAAGCAGACTTCAAAACCTACTTCATGTTTACTTGTGAAAGAAAGCGTACTAGTAGACATTCTCAATCAAAAAGTAGCTGAAAAACTCAAACACAGAAACATTTCATAAATTCATCCCATAACTTGTTCTGGCATGGAATATTCAAGAAAAAATGACAAGCSAAACAGCTTTAGTTTTCTGCAAGAAACGGGGAGGGCCGCTMAACTCCCCGCTATCTTCATTGTTAATTACGTAGATGAACTGAACATGACAAACTTTAAAATGTTTACACTACCATGCAGGTATTTAATAAATASTATTTTAATAATTGTGATATTTATGAGTTTTGGGGTATTTTTTCGTTTGAAAACGGTGCTTTTAACGAGTTAAACTTAAATGTGTTTTTGTTTTTTGAATTTGCAAAAAATGAAAATATTTTGCTTCTTGAAATCTAGAGAAAGTGAATAGATAAGTTGTTGGGAACTAAAGCAATTAGATAATAACTTTTGGTTTTACACGGATTTTGTGAGTAAATTGTTGAAATAACGCAAGTGTTTTAAGGTAGTTTATCGGGGCGTTGAATTCAGGTTTCTCAGCGTTGAATTCAGGTTTCTCACAGTTGAATTCCACTTGAAATACCCTCTCATCCGGTTGACGTGTTGACCAATCAACGCACGACTTTAAAATTGAGGTATGAGATTCTACTGCTTATATGATCAGGTCAAGTCAGTGACATATTCTGCTATGATTTTCGGTCGACCCTGGAACGTCAAATCTTTGATTTTATTTGTTAGCTTTTGTTATTTTATAGAGACAGCGATAGTAAATTTTCATTACTATTCAGGTTGTCGAACGATCAGGTTCAAACAGAGCAAAGAAAAAGACAAATCATTATTAAATCACGTGATCAAAAATGTCACAACGGAAAGCGACACTCTGTGCAGGCACATCTGCTTTATGAAYCCACAATGTGTTTCTTTGAATATTGGTCCTTCTACGTCTCTTGGAAATCTACTATGCCAGTTGAATGACGCTGACCGTTTCCAGTTCCCACTGGACTTCAAAGATAACCCTGGCTTCTCGTATCAGGGGGTTGAGGACGTAAGTTAAAATGTTCTTGGTTCCAAATGCCCAAATKATTATTACGACCGCTGCTTTAAAAATTGCTTAGATTTTGCTATAAATAATCATTCATGCATTGTATGGAWGCAATTTCCTGCAGTCCCTGTGATTCAAGCAATTCTAGTGATTCCAGCGGCTATTGTGGCAATAGGATGGAAAACATGTCGATCTCAACGAATCACTGAACCAAATTCGATATCATTGAGTTAGGGACTGCGCATTATTTATCAGGATTGGGTGGATTTGAGAGGGGGAATCTACTATTAACTAGAACTTTCATTGAAACTGAAAAATCAACGGTGTGAGATTCCCCTCCTTGTATTGTAAAATTGTATTATCTTGCATTGCTTTTCGGCTACTGTTTGACCTCTTATCCCACAGAATCCAATTTTTCGATTTCACACGCTATTTTCGGTATAAACTTATACCGAGTATAGAATCAAAACTTAAAACAAAAATAAGAATCCATGGTACTTGTGTGTCATCAACCAATTTTGTTTTATTTACCAAGCTTTCGGGCCTATTGGCCCATCCTCAGGGTTACAATGGTTTGAAGGATAAAAAACGGTAAGAAATTTACGAATACAAACACAATATGCACGCGCTTAATCAAGCGCGTTCTAAACGCGCGCTAAATAAGGAAAACAACAACAATGATATATTGCACAAAAAAACAGATTAAAATAAATAAATAAATTACAACAGTGGAATGTAGTTTGCTGGAATCTTTGTTTTTTTTGTGCAATATATCATTGTTGTTGTTTTCCTTATTTAGCGCGCGTTTGTATTCGTAAATTTCTTACAGTTTTTTATCCTTTAAACCATTGTAACCCTGAGGATGGTAAATAAAACAAAATYGGTTGATGAAACACGAGTACCATGAGCTCAAGTCCAACCAACATTACTCTATTTGACTTAAAAATAAGAATATAGTTTCCTTCATATAGAACCAGTGCTCSGCCAATCCCTGCTCAAATCACAGTGTATGCTTGCATGGTTACGGGGAACAGTATRTTTGCGAATGTTATCCAGGATGGCATGGAAAAAACTGCTCATCAAAAGGTATGAAATGTCTACTTAACTGAGTTATAATCCTTGYGTATTGAGAATTATAGAAATAGGAGATGAGACTGACAAGATACACTGTTATTTTCAAGGAGTTGATATAACTCTCTCAAGGGAGTTAAATTTACTCCACCCAATGGAGTAACAGGCAGATGAATCTAATCACGAGATTAAAGTTAACTCCACCAGGGGTAATTTTGCTATGGATATTTTTAACTTATATGTGGAGTAGTTATATTTACTCCTAAAAAGGAGTCATCCTGTACCTTTTTCTTACTCCACTTTAACTTTTTAAGAGTTAAATCAACTTTCAAAAAAAAAACACTCTATATAAAAAAAATGCATAGTTTAGTAAAGTGTGATTTAGTCCTGTCACCGTGAGCACTTTTGCCTAAGTTTCTAGCAACWAATTAATGATTTTGTGTCTAGCAAATTCACGGCTTTCAATAAYGTCGCTATATGTCAGAGGGTGTCAATGGTGGTTAATAGTTAGCTGACGTTTGGCTGAAAAATTAGTAGTTTACTGACTTTTTGGACAAAAACAGTGGTTAACTGACCAATGAAAATCGTATATTAGCTGACTTTCTTACAAACATTTAATTCAGGCGCGTAGAGTCCTTTACACATATACGCACGTTCCAGTCAAAACGCTGGAAATCGCATTTCCAAGAGTTATTAYTTCAAAATTTCCTTGGGGAGGACACCCCGACCCTCCTTTACCCCCGCCTTCAGAGGTCGTTAGCCCCCCAATCCAAAATGTGTGTCGCGGTACCGGCCATATGCGTTTAGCCAAGAAAGCCCACGCTACGCGACTGTAATTGCGTCTTTTAAAAATCTACTGTCCAACAGTTTTTTKGGGTCTTTTAACTGATCACTGTTTGAGTAGTCAAGCTCCAATGCACATGTCACGATTCAGGAGCACCAGGCTATCCTCACGAGCATTGAACTTGTTGACCAAACATGGCTATAGATATGGATACAGAACTGCTGCAAGTATAAATTACAACCATATGCATAAAATGATTTCACATGTTATGYTAGCATTATAAATGCAATTTATAATGCAATGGCATTCGATACAAGAAACCAAAACTTTTAAATTTTAAAATGCCCATCTAACAGTAGTTAACTGACTTTTGGTCAAAAATATAGGAGTTAATTGACTTTTGACCCAAAAATTTGTAGTTAACAGACTTTTGGGTACCCACATTGACACCCTCATGTCACGGTCGCCGACCAGAGCACTGGGGACGAAGCACATAAACGAGGTCTTAAAGGCCCGCCTCCATATAGTAACTTCAGTGGTGTCTTGCAAGAGYGTTTTGTTATAAATAACATATACATCTCTCAAACTTTTGGACACTGTATGTACTGCCATACATGCGATCTTCGTAGTGATTTCCATGATTCGTCCATAGTCCCCCAATATTGGCGGTCGTGAACTACTACTTTTTGAAAGTAGTGTTTTCCCCTGATTTTACATATTATTGAAAAACTACTTGGTTTTCTGCCTAGAGCAGACTTAACCTGTGAAACCTAATTAGTATGCAAAATATTAAKTACTTATGCTAATCAATGTATTTCCTATTGCCGAGTCTGATCTACACTRTTTAGTAGTAAAGCGTTGTCCACCGAAGASGCAGAACGATCGTAAAACACGTTACATTAGTATAGTATTTTTAAAATATTGGCACGCATTTCATCGCAAAGTTGTCMATATGAAATACTTTACTTTATTAAGTTTTTAAGAGCCGCTTKTAAGAGCCGCGCAAAAACGAGACAAAATTGAACATTTTTTTGCAAGGCTCGAAAAATCAATCTATTGATATTTTGTATATTGATAAGGTATGATTAGGTAACACTCGCTGTGTAATTGGTTTTTGAAAATATTTCATTTTTCGCACCGATAAATGCTGTTGAACGTGATGTCGTTACACCTAGGAATGACAAGAAGATGGAAATGAACCGACAACATTTCGAAACGGCATTCCAGCGTCTCAACTAACTTAGGATTGCAGGGGCGGATCCAGCATTTTAAAAGGGGAGGCAGTGCTTTTGTCAGTAATATATAGAGCGGATTTCTTATGACTGTGCGAAAAACACGGTATTTTCGCGCTGTGACAGTACCGTGCCTTAGCGTTGAGGTATTGTTACTTCTTTATTTTTATTTGGAATCCTAGAAGGCGTGGTTCCGTTTTCGTGCCGTGCCGTGTCCTTGTTGTGATCCGTGCCTTTGCACAGTCATACGAAATCCGCTCTAGCTAAAGTACAGCAGGTGGAACTGATCATTTTTATTAGGTGCGTATTGAGTCAAGAGGAAGACAATTATGCACAATTTGACAGGAAGCAAATTGACTTTTTTTGCAACRTATCAACGTATCAACTACACTTCTCAAATAGATTGTTAAGCAGCAAGCATAGTGGTAGACACATGCTGTGAATGCTACACTGTTTTCTCGATAAAAGTACAACTGGAGTATAAACAGCAAAAAAAATTATACTGATATACAAAAATTACATCGTCCAAAAAGGAGGGTAGTGTCCGCACCCAAAGCAATTCCCCTTGATCCGCCCCTGGGATTRCACATCTACATATGGATCTTGATATGCACTGAAACTCCAATATTACTCCCTGATGTTTTTGCTTAACAAATTATTTTTTTTATGTTCGAACACTTCTTGTGATTGTAGATCTGGGCAATGGATCGCGTATCTATGGAGACGCTTTTCTCAAGCTATTTACAGAGAAGAAGAACTGGACCGATGCTCGTCACTATTGTCAGTCGTTAGGTGGTGATCTTCTCTCCATTACTAGCTCACACGAAAACGACTTTGTAAAGGAAGTCTTTCTGAAGCAACTGAGCATACCCACCTATAGTAATGGTATGGCGAAACGAGAAAAAATCTCTTTAGAAAATATAATTTAATTAATAGAATCAAAAGTTGACAGAGAATCGAAAACAAATGCACCTCTGATGTGTGACAACGCACTAAAAAAGAAAAAAAAGAGGGATGGGGAGGAGAGAGGGGGGGGAGAACCTGGAAGCCGGTACTGAAAAATAATGACTAAAACAACCTAACAACAAAACTATCCTCCTCCGCAGGCAACTCTTTTTTTCTCCTTTGGGCTTCCTTTGTAACGGTCATAATGGCCGTTAGGGACTAGTGACGAGATAGTTAAAATAAAAAGAGGAGGAGTCCCCCTTTTCTCGCCCTCATTCTCCCTCTTTTGACTCCTCAAAAAGACAGGAAGCCCGTGATTCTTAGTGATGCCTTCGGAGGAGGCTACAACGAAACATAACTTTTAAAAATTCTTGGAGCTTTGTTCCAAAAACATGCTTCGAAAATACACATGCAAAAGTAGCTTTATAGAAGGCTACTATGCTGCTTTTCAAATGCGAGCAACTTCGAGATCAAAAATACATATTTTTTTTWAAAAAGTCACAATTCTTTTTTTAGATGTCCCAGACTTTGGTGTACCTTACCAAGAACTGCTGTTGAACCAATCTTCGCCGAATGTAGAGTAAGTAGTTTTCATAACAGAGCTCAGTGCACTAGGGCTGTCCCTATGTGCATAAGCACGTTTCCTTCYTTCCTTCCGTTTTTTTTTTCGCTCAGTAAACCGCGATCTTCAGTATACAAATCTTTCACTATAATCGACAAAAAGAAACGGAAAATCGACTTACAAAATAAATAATATACTAGCTCCAAACGGTTAACGATGAAAGAGAAAATATAATATTATACAAAAATAAAAAACTTTGAGACATTTGTACAGTCCTNTATTAGTTACTTGTAATCTTCTCTTAATATCTTCGTGAACATACATATCCTTGGCAATATCGGTTTTCCACCTTCCATGTAACTTTAACAGTCTTTCAGATATAGTACTGTTGGTGGTGTTAGACTTAGGGATAAATATAGACATATGGCTATCACAGAATTTTAAATGTTTACCAAGAACGTTAGAGAATTCATCATATCTCAGGAAACCCGCGAAAGCTAAGGTGCACATAGTAGCTATTCGTAAATCTTTAAGACTACAATTTTCGTTGGCGTGTTTGTCTATGATTTTCTTAATCATATCGTTGGTAACTGGATTCTTTTTGGATATAGGTTTTCCTTTATCCCTTTTAGCTGCTTCCACAATATTTCTACACAATTCGCTGTCTAGGGGATTGGTACCTGGTATGAAACTATGTAACCATTTCAGTGCTGAAAAAGTTAATACAACTGATTGACTACATTTAACTCGTTTTGCCACATGTCCTATGTAGATTGCTGTTATAGAACTTTCGTAAGGTAGTCTTGTTTGAATCCTATTGGTTCTGCACCATTCAAAGAACTTCTTTATTTCAGCGAGGTATCTCTTTGTAGTAGAAGTTGCCCGAGAACGTAAGATCTGTTCCAACACTTGTCTTCTACACTCCTTTAAAGCTGGTGGCACATTTTTCCAATGCACACACTTCTCTACAATCTGAAAATGAATGAAATTGAAGAACATATAAAATTAATAACACTGACTTATCAGGACGAGCCAGCGCCCTTTAAATTGTCTTGGGCCAGTGCCCTTCGTATTGTAGCGGGCCAGTGCCTCAATCTACTTGCATTCCATTTCATTTGACCAGGCCAGTGCCTGTAGCATAATTCATTGGGCCAGTGCCTTCACGAAAATCCATTCTCACAGCTAATAACATTCCCTTAAATCTCTTCGATCCTAAAAGCGAGTTGCTGTTACGTCCATGTTTCAATCCATCTCCCTCATAAACTCTGTAATCAAATAGATTCTGTGTACACTTTCTTGTCAACAATGGCCAAAAACTGGACGATGGCCAAAAACTGGACGATGGCCAAAAAGGGACTATATAAGCGTGCCTATTGCCTTTTGCAGCTCCATGTAATTTATCGTTCACGATATCAGGCTTATCGGCGGAACCAGCAGACAATTTTCTTCCTTAAGGTTTTGAACAAAGAAATCAATACCCGCACACCCCGGTGTCCAAAAACGTGATATGAAACGAT